TATCCATGAAGCTTTTTCAGTTCTAAAACCTAAAGGTGGAGAGCATTTAACTATTTAATCCGTAGTGGGGGTTGTCCCTTAGGAGGTGGTTGTTGACCCACTATTAATCATGAGTATGAAGAAAGACATGGGTCATTACCACCAGAGGTTTTGGGAGAAACAACTTTGACACCGTTTTTTTTTGTTTTTTTTTAAATTGAGGTCACCTGACACAGGCGAGTGGGGGTTAAGCTACTTGGTTAGGGATGTCAAGACTGCATTGTAGGTGGCTGACAGCTGGTGTCGTAAGTCACCACCTCTGTTGAATGATGTTCATTACATCGATTACATCATTACATCACCGACATCGATGGCCTCTTTTGCTTTCAAACTCTGTCTTCTCTGTCCAAAATGTGAATACAGGCATCCTAACAGCGACCTTTATCCATTATGTGCAGATGTACAGCTGAGTCTTGTCCTGTCAAGGTGGCTCTATGTTGTGCCATGCCACTGTGCTTGCAGTGTTGTGCTTTTTGGAGCATTTTAAAGTAATTATACAACAAATTTAATAGCAATATCTGTGCTTCAGTTTTGAGTTAAAGTCTAGTACTTTATTTGTATGTTACTTTGGACTAATGTTCAGGTGTCTGTGTTGCAAGTATACAGTATAAGGATAGAATTTGCTAGCCAAGCCTGTCAGTATTAGCTAATAGCTCCCACCCACTGATCCATATGTGGTTACCAAGATGGTGACAGTTTGCAGATAATGCTTGGATCCAAAATGGTACTAAAACCTAGTTTAAAACTTTTAGTACTCAGTTTCAAATACAGCTGGAGAGTGCGCATTAGAAACTCAAATATACACACACACGCAGTTCTCCTGCCCCTTGACACCTTCTCTTCTTCATTAAAGGTAAAAGAATCAGGGAACACAAGGCCGTATGTGCCAGGAAGTATGTGAGAAAGTGTGCGTGAGTGTGCACTTGTGCACTGGGGAGTCAGTTCCAGCAGCACTGGATGCTTCAAACACACAGCATAACTCCTCAGAGAACCACTACACTGAAGTAACTGCTGAGACATCTCCCTCTGCCTCTGTCCTCCAGAGAGAGCTCACTCTCTCTGTTTCACACACACACACACACACACTCACATTTCTTAATAAGCTAATTGCACTTAGAGCCACTAACTATGCAAACAAACGCACTAAAATAGAGACACAGCCACAACACGGGGCTCTGTGGGATAGCAAAGTGGGAGACTGGATCATTAAAAGTCCCGATGTGGGAATATGAGTAAACAACACTAACAGGTAAACATGATCTAGATAAACCTAACATTAAGTGAGATTTAGGCCTAAAAAAAGATGCTGAATGTATGCAACAAACTCAATGTGCTTTCAATTCCTTCATTTTAAAAACTTATTTTTGGCAGTCCTTTTCTCAGACAGGACCAAAAAGAAAAAACAAAGGACACCATGAACCTTTCTGCCACTCATCACAGGTATCATCCCTTAAAACAAGGCATTACCCATTTGAAGTCATGAGAAATTCAAGGAACAGATTCTGTATAAACACGAGTAGGTACACAAAAACCATCAACAGGATTATAAAGCTTTTTGAGTGTTGATGTAATGAAGTGTGTGTGTGTGTGTGTATTGTGCAAATTTTGTCTCTTGGCTGATATTCAATTTCAATGAAAATGCCTTAATTTTGATTGTTTCCTACACTAGCAGATTCTGACACAAGAAAACACTAGTGCTCACAAATGGGACAAGCAGCACTATCATTCTCTTTCATCTGACTGCCACATTAGCTCGGGACTGATACCCTGCAGGATGGTTGGAGGTAAGCTGTGATGCAGCTGCTCTGGCTGGATCCCCTGGGCTGCTTAAGGCGGTGTTAAGAACTGGCACTAATGTTATGCTACAGTTGATTTAGCTGGGCCCCTGTCCCCTTTGGCGGAGCTAGCAAGCACCAGCAACACAACGGCTGTTTTGCAAGAGGCCTTGTCCCCTTTGGCAACACTAAAATAGCTACTGTAGCATTAAGCCATGCTAACTCGCATCCATTACTATTCAACAGGCCCTGCAGAGCCGACCTTTTGTCTATGTATGATTTCATGAACATGTTTCAGGAGTGAACTGACGTGCAAAGCCACTGACACTGACAAGTTTGTGTGGGTATACGTGTGTGAGTGTGTGTGGACAAGGACAGGGGCTGCAAGCAAGAGGTGTTTTTATGAGCCAATTAAATGACACTGCTATGCTATAGCCTGGGGCACACCTCAAGGCAACAAGCAGCTCAAAGTTTCCGCACTCCAGCGACGCTGGTCTGGTAGTGGCATTACACACAACTTTTTAAAAAAAAATAAAAGATCAATCATTCCACCTCTTTTGTCTTCTCCCTCGGAATGGGTTAACACAATTATTTCCAAGGGCCCAATTTGGTTTCAGAGATTGTGTCAGATGGCTGGATATCTAAATGAATAGAAATGTGGAGGGAGGAGAGGCTTGCAGAGCCTAAAAAGAAATACAAGAGGACCTTAGCAAGGAGGATTCTTAGTTATTCACGAGCTATTGTCAATGTAACTGCAATAGTCATGTATATTTAATAATGTAGATGTTGCCACTGAACTCCAGTACTCTGCTATACAAACAACATTTAGGTCCTTGAAAAATCTTCAAGGAGTGTGCATATCGGCAGCTGTAAAAACCAAAACTTTCATACAGTTTGTACGTTTATACATAATACAGCCAGTGTGCACTACTGATATGAGCTGAGTGTTAAATAAATAAATAAATGAAGAAGTGAGTGCTATGATAGGCTTTCTTGGGGTGTGAAGGGAAACCTGCTGTACATCTTTGTCTCTGGCTAGTGAGTCATCTCCAATCTAGGCCACTAGTCAAGGTAAGGGAGAAGTAGTTACAGTAGTTTTATAGCAGAGGGAGGGTGGAAACAGCTCTTTGATCTCTGATCTTCTCACTTTTGTTTGAAAATCAAATTTATCAAACGGGGGAATAACAACAACAACAACATGATAAATAGATTAAAAAAAGCACAAAGGCACCGTACTTGCATTTGATTATCTCCAATAATGAATATGTCACATTTGCAAAGAGGGGCTCAGGTAAGAAAATCACTAAAGCACCGACGAGCCTATTCTTTTGCTCTCCTTCGTAATTACCTACCCCAGCAGCATAGCAGATCCCTCGCTTTTCTCCCCTTTAGGCCACTGGAGACTGATATGAAAGGGAATTGGACACTTGGGGCCACAAATACTGTAATTAAAAATCTCTCCTTTTCTTGATACGTTGTTTGCAAACATCATTTCAGAGCGCAACATGCATTTGTTAGGGATCTGACCTAAATACACCCTAGATTAAACATAGGAAAGCACCCGGTCTTTGTTTCAGGTTCATACTCATTAGGTGTGAAAATGAGGTGATTCAGGCATGATTGGGGTATAAATATAGAAAGGTGATATCCATA